AGCATCAGACTTAGGCTCAGGTCATCACCTCACAGTTCGTGAGTTCAAGCCCCACATCGGGCTCTGTGCTGACAGCTCAGAGCCCAGAGCCTGCTTTGGATTTTGTGACTCCCTCTCTCTCTCTGCCCCTCCTCTGGTCATTCTCTCTCTCTCTCAAAAATAAACATTAAAAAAATTAAATAAGAAATATATTTAAAATGTATATATATTTATATTTATATGCAACTGAACAAGGCAATCTTAGATTATACATTATTCATGTTCTATAATCTTACCATTCATACGATATTCCACTTTTGTTATTTTATTTGACCTGCACATTTTCCTACAATGTAGGTGTGGCCACTTGCCCTATGTACAAAAAACTCTATGTGCAAAGTTTCAGGTATGATACAGAAAGTTTCACTGAGTACAACCAGGCTAGAACTTGAGTGGGAGGCTACTAGATTGGAAGTCTCTCTATCATTCACCCTCCAGGTCATATAATGTATCAAATCCCTATCACCATGTAGATTGCATCCAAGAGAAGATAAATCCTGAGCCATCAGGGAAGGATGCCAACTGATACCTTAATTCCTGCTCCCAACTCCAAAATCAGGTTCTGTAAACTTCATGGCAAAAGGAAAATTAGATATCCAAATGAATAATAGCGAAGGGCAAAGACAGAAAAGAGAACAGGAGAGAGGAGAGTGACAATGAGCAGACATCAGGGAGAGAAGAAACAGGGGATAAGATTCAAAAGATGTATAGAGGAGAGGTGAGCAAAAAAATGTTGGAGTCATTTCACCCAAGTTTTCATCAGAGAGTTTAGCTTCTTTATTCCTGACCCACCACACTATCACTTGCCCCCCAACAAAAGACAGAGAGTGCAGTTTTGGGTCGTTAGCAAGAGTTAACAAGGTTCTTGAAACCCCAAGTGTAGAGAAGGGACACTCCTATCTTATACTCCATTCCAGAAACATCACCAGTGACCTAAAACTTTTCAAATCAGAGGACCTGCAAAGTAGAAACTTCAGCCAAGTTGGCCTCAATGCCATGGTGCAGTTTATCGTTCTTCACCCCCTACATTAAGCAGAGATTATCTGAAAGTCAGTATAACTCTGTGCTGAGGCCAGGAAAGTCTTAGGAACCCTGGACAACCTCAACCCTTCATGGGTGGAAATACTGTCCAGGAACTTCATCATTTGTTAGAAGACATGCTGAGTATTGATATCAGATCAGTCTTGAAGATGCAACATGATGAAAACATCTCAGACAGGCTGGAAAACTTACCCCTTTGCTTAAGAGGAAATAGATGACTTCCAATGTAGTATATTTTCTTGTATCTTCAACTTCCATTTGCTTAGAAAGTGAATCATATGAAGCCTGAATATCACATGCAAACCATACTTCATTGACACTTATCCTTGGTTTTTTTTTTTTATCACAAGAGGTGATGGGGTAGAGAGAGTTTATGGAGGAAGGGGACTCTGCATGTGGCCACACATGACACAGCTCCTCCCCGGAAGCACTACGACAAAAACAACAAGGTCTATATTGGAGGAAGGGAGGGGGTGGTGAAAAAGAAAAGTTTCTTAATTCAGCCCTTCAAAATTTTATGGAGGAACTTATTCCTGCATTCTGAGAGAGAAATGCCTCTGAAGCAACCTCTCTTCCCAGAGTTTCTTTTGGAGAATACAAATGAGGTAAGCATTTTCTTCTTATGCTATTAGGTATTTACGACAATTCCCACGTAAGTCTGCAAATGCCTAAGACAGGCTTTCAGCCTCAAGACTTCCAGGAAAACCATTACTCCTAACCCAGTCCCAAAGGATGTCCAATGAGCTACCTCATTCAGATAGTCCAAGGGCAAATGTATGCTTTGGGGCCAATTAGTTAGCTTCAACTCACTATGATTGCAGGTTAGGAAAGTCTGTTCACTTTTCCATAGGATTTGCTTAAGCTCATCTCTTCTAGAAGCATGAAAGTCATTGATGTCATTTAAAGGCTCAGATAGATACATGTCAGATAGACAGACGTGAGCCCTGGCCCCAACACTATCTGCTATGTGATTTTAAGCAAGTTTCTCAACCTCTTTAATTTCCAATGTTCTCTTGGGAAAAGTCAACTGGTAATCATTATTTATTTATTTTTAACATTAGTGTTCAGTTCTCCCCTGTTCTTAATCTTACCTATATTTTTTAGTCAATGCAGAGAATGAGATGAGAATAAGAATTTTTGAATATAGGTCTTCTGTATTTTCTTTTTGTTTTTAAAGATTCATGCCCTTCCACTTATGTACAGAAAGTTGCTTGTGAATGGTTACAAGCTATTAAAGATGGGATAAATTACATTAAAACAATACTTTTCACAAAGCAAATCATGTTACAACCCAGCACTCTGCTCTAGAATCTCCTGCCAGGCACGTCACTGTCCACTAGGCACCTTCAGTGAGGATGAAGTGATCCATTCAGGTGACAGGGGAATGACAGAGGGTGGTGACAGAAAGAGAGGTAGGAGAACACTACAAAAGATTTCACAATGCTTTGAACTCTTGCTGAAAGGTCTAGTGACAACCAGCAAGGCCTGGTGTCTCACAGAAACGTCTGAGAGAAAATCACACCCCAACACCTGGCCTGTTGTATTAGAAAAGGACTAGAAGAATCCTGAGGAAGGTTTTTGGTCTGTCACTTAAAGTCTTAGAGCCTCCGCTGCCCCATAAATTAAACGGTAATATGAAAACCTACCTTTAAAAAAAAGTTTCTGCAAATCTTAAAATATATAACATAGGAAAACAATGAGTCCCTGGCTCGCAGAAGCACAGAAGAAATATTCATGTGTTTTTATTACTCCTGCTTAAACATGAACTGAGCACCAGAGAAGTGAAATAACTCATGAAGGTTACAGAACAGAAGCAACAGGTTACAGAAGCAACAGAAATGAGCCTAGAATCCACATCTCTTAAGTAGAAGTCTAAACTTCTTTTATTTTCATGTGATGTGCACAGGAATGTCATAAGATTTCTTAGGCTGGGAAACAAGAGCAAGCAATGAAAGAGCCCCTGCCTTCAACCTCCCAATCAAAAAAGCCCCATTTTAACTCCTTACATTTGAAGGAGGATTAAGCTCTCCAGTGCTGGTGGGAAATTTTTGCAGAGGGCGTTTCCAAGGAGATCTTTGAAGCGGTCAAAGCCAAGAAGCCAAGTCAATGATCTCTTGAAGTTTCTTCGATCTCTAAGTGAACTGACCCTTAGCACTCATTAAATTCCTTATAGACCAAAGGACTAAATGAGATCTGGATTCCAGGTCCTGTCAAAACAATGGCGGGGTTTGCTGAATGCACTTGGCTATGCTCACTCCATCATGGGAACTGTGGAAACAGAACAAATGCTAGCTGAGGTTTTTACTAGTTTGAGCCACCTCTGGCTTCATTTTAGGATTATTTAAACTCTGCTCATTGAGGGGCGCCTGGGTGGTGCAGTCAGTTAAGCGACCGACTTCAGCCAGGTCACGATCTCGCGGTCCGTGAGTTCGAGCCCCGCGTCGGGCTCTGGGCTGATGGCTCAGAGCCTGGAGCCTGTTTCCGATTCTGTGTCTCCCTCTCTCTCTGCCCCTCCCCCCTTCATTCTCTGTCTCTCTCTGTCCCAAAAATAAATAAACGTTGAAAAAAAAATAAAAAAATAAAATAAACTCTGCTCATTGAAATTTGTATCTTACTAAGGTAAGGTTTCCAGTGGATAATTCAGAAACTCTGGCTAGATAAACCCAACTAATAAATTGCAAATTTGAGGCAATAGATGACTTTATTGGGATCATAAATATTTTATGAATAAAAGTCAGATCACTGAGAGCAAGACTTATTGTTGCAGGGAACGGAAGAAGGGATAGAGAATGAAAATGAGAAAGTGGATAGAGAATAATGGCTTTATTTTCTATTTGAATTTTGAGATATTATATTTAGATTTTAAACATGGGGAAATTTGCTAGAATGTAGAATTTATTTTAAATGCTCTATGTATGTCAAGAATTAAGAATTAAGAGCTAAGAGCTCGTATCAGCAATAACCACACTCCTTTGCCAAAATTGACACTTTAGTGTGTTAATGTTAAAGATATATTTAAATGTGAATATGGGAAGATATCTCATTTATTCACTTATTCAACATATATTTACTGAACTCCTACCTCAGACTGTTCAAGATGCTAATGATACATTATGAGCCCAAGAGGGGAAAATTTCCCTGCCTCACTTGAGTTTATAATCCATAAGAGAAGGCTGACAAAAGAAAGAAAGAAAGAAAGAAAGAAAGAAAGAAAGAAAGAAAGAAGAAAGAAAGATTATGTAGCATATGAGAAAATAACTTCTCTTTCAATAATAAGTTAAATATGTCGATAAGAGAAGGCTGATGAAAGAAAGCAAGAAAGAAACAGATTATACAGCATATCAGAAAATAATAACTTCTCTCAAAAAAGTTAAAAGATGAAGAGTAGGTTAGGGAAGTGGAGCTATGAAATCTAAGTTGCTATTTTTCAAAACATAGTCCCATGACACAGGAACACCTATAGCTGAGGTTCTGAGAATGCACTGATCTCTTCCACTAGACCCATGACTGTTTAATTCCTCAATCACTGAAATCATTGCCCTACGCATAAACTTCTTTTCATTTGAAATAGTGTTAAGTTTCTAACCTCTTAAGATATTTTTGTCATGCCTCCACAAAGACTTACCAAAGCATGGGATGAGTGACAACAGGTCTGATAGGTAATTTCTCCCTTCAATCTTTTTTTTTAAGATTTTAAGTAAACATAATATCCAACACTTTTACTTTACTATGAAGATACTGAGTTACCAAATCAGAGTCGATAAGTGATCTAAGTGTGAAAACATTTTTCCTGACCCCATATTACTGGGTTTTTTTATTGCATTACATTAGCTCCTATCAAACAGACCCAAACACACAAAGGCTTAGTCTAGAAAAGCTGACTCTTTTACTCTTTACAATATTTTGTAAACTTCAATGTTTTATTTGTCACTACAAACCACCATTATTCTGTTCCACATTTTCTTTATGGCATTTTTCATTTCCTTGTTCCTGAAAGTGTAAATCAAAGGATTGAGCAAGGGAGTTAGGATGGTGTAAAATATAGCCACCATTTTGTCAAAAGAGAAAGAAGATGGAGGTCGTGCATACACAAATATGCAAGGGACAAAGAACAAGACCACAATAGCAACGTGAGATCCGCACGTGGAGAGGGCTTTCCGCTGCCCTTCAGGACTATGGGTTCTCAGAGAGAGCAAGATGACAACATAGGAGACGAGTAACAGAGAGAAGATTATAATGCAGATAGACCCACTATTGGCGACCACCAAAAGGCCAAAGATGTGAGTGTCAGTGCAGGCAAGCTCCAATAATGGGTACAAATCACACATGAAGTGATCAATGACATTGGGGCCACAGAAGGGAAGCTGGAAAGTAAAGAGAATTTGTATCATGGAATGCAGAAAACCCCCTGTCCAGGCTACACCCATCAGAATGGTACAGAGCCTCCAGTTCATAATGGATGTGTAGCGTAGGGGCTTGCAGATGGCCACATAGCGGTCGTAGGCCATGGCTGTGAGGACAATCACTTCCACCCCAGCAAAGAAGTGTTCAGCAAAGAGCTGGGCCATGCAACCTCCAAAGGAGATGGTTTTCCTCTCATAGAGGGAGTCCACAATCATCTTTGGGGCAATGACAGTGGAGAAGCAAGCATCGAGGAAGGACAGGAAAGCCAAGAAGAAGTACATGGGGGAGCCCAGGAGTGCTGGGCTGCTGCTGACGGTCACCACAATTAGCAAGTTGCCCCCGACAGTTGCAATGTAGCTGAACAAGAATACAACAAATACTATTTTCTGAACACTGGGATTCTGCGAAAGCCCCAGGAGGACAAACTCAGTTACAAAGCTTTGGTTTCGCATGATTTCCAAGGAAAAGCTAAAAGCCGCCAGAAGGAGCATGTGCAATCTGCAATTATGAGAAAGAAAAATTTGTCTCGGACCAGCGGACAGTAATGCAACAGTCAGTAAGAAGTTGGTGCATCCACACGAAAAATTATCTTCTATGTTTCTGGCGTCACTGTGACTCACACAAAAGTCAAAGTTTGTTGAAGGTGGTAGTGAGAGGTCAGAAAGAATTGGGGAGGAGAAAGGTAGTATTAAATACTTTAAAATAGCCAGAGTTCCAATAAGGGGGAAGAATGGAGGTATCCACATGTAGAGAAATAGTTTATCTCAACTGCCAACTTGGGTCCCTTAGCAATGGCTTCCAGGAGTGAACTGTTGGCAAGGGTTCTGAAGCACATCCAGGTTCTGAGGAAAGGACCATGACAATGTGGTCATCATGTCCACCATGAGATGGAATGGGAGCCGAGGGGACTTGCATGCCATCCCTGATAGGAGTCTGCCTGATCTGCAAACAGAAGAAATAACATCCAGGTTAAAAGGTCCTTGCAAATCATGGCTACTCCCCAAATATTTCTTTAAACATCTGAGATGAACTTGGCCTTTAAGACGAGTTCATTCATTCCTTATAAAAGAGAAAGATACATGAGAAAGCTCCATGTGAACACAGAACAAGTATGCATGTGTTAAGTTGGGGGGTTTTTTTATTCATCATTTTAAAATAAGAACAAACGTTTTTTGTGGGTTTTTTTGAAGTACCTATTTCAGAGTCTTGCCATGATGACTAAGTTAAATAATACAAGAAAAACAATTGTTCAGGGCCCACTGCCCAAGAAACAGTCCATGTTAGGTCTTATCCCTATTTTACTGATGGGAAGCTCATGCTTACAAAGATAAGGTTAGCAAATAACAGGTGCTAGGTCTGGGATTTTAACAAAGAAACTCTGGCACTAACCCCCAACTCCATCCACTGTGTCAACAGAAAGGAGTAAGAACTTTCTTTTTCTAGCAAGAACACAGAGCAGGGTGGCCTTTCAAACGTTCATCCACCTGTAGAGGTTTTAACCTTCTGATTTCCTTATTCATGTTTGAAGGAGTCCCTTTGATGAAGGACACAGAACAGATGAGTGTAGAATCAGAAGGTAATGACCCAATTACTTGAAGGTACAAATTGATAACAATCACATAAGTAAGGAACAGTAACAGCACGGTGAATATTGCCAGAATCTTAGGGCTTTATTAATTACTTGCTAATTAATCATACAAAGTGGTCCAATCTGATTAAGCACAATTTGCCAAAGTATATCTGTTGCTAATGAATATGACTTTATGGTAAAGTGGGGATATTCATACGTAACCTGCCTGCTCATCTCACAGGATTATGATGTGGGTCAAACTGGAAAAAGGAAAAGTGTCACTTAGATTCAGCAGTCCTTACCAATCATAATTACTACTCTCTCATTTAAAAACCCAAGCACTTTACCCACAGAAATCTTTTCCATAAGGCATCCAGATGATTCCTCCAACTTTTGACTTCATTTTCGATAGCAAAACACAGCTTTGAAGAATGATTATGTCCTCACCTGCACATATAGCAGAAATTTATCCATCCTTACGTATATGTATGTACATATACACATAATCTATGTTTATTAAACAGGTGAATAAAAGAATAATGGGTCTTATTGGGCAAATTAAAAATAAGCTGATTTTTGTGAACGCCCCTTAGAGCTAATCAAAACAGTTTACAATGTTAATAACACTAACCAATGTACAACCATGTATACGAATATCTGTTGTCTCTTGCTTTAAGATAACTATTTCCATTATTTTTCCAGCATACTAGACATTCCTAAATAGTGCCTGGACTGCGAAGTTGATATTTGGCTACAAGCTGTCACTAAGAAAACAAGAATATCAAACACTAGAAGGTCATTGGATCAGTCAACAACCAGTTATTAAAAAGTAAAGAATATCAATGCATGATCCAGCAGTGATCAGCTTATCCTAGAGCCAAAGCAGGAAAGAAATGAGGAAGCACATCAGCTCCAGATTCATACAGACCAGGCTGTTCTACTTAGTTATATCGTGTGATGGAAAAAAATCACTTGAAATTCTCAGAGACTCTGATTTTACTTCTGTAACTGGGTATATATAAAAATGCCTATTGGTAGGATTCTTGTGAGAATCAGAAAAGGTGAGACACATAACATTTATGTAGTTAGGATCATAGGAGAAAAATTACAATAAATGGTAAGAACAAGCCCCAGAGCTACTGACAGAAGAGAGATGACAGTGGTGTTTTTTTTTTTTTTGTAATGTTTATTTATTTTTGAAGGAGAGAGAGAACGTGAGCAGAGGAGGGGCAGAAAGAGCAGGAGACACAGAATCTGAAGCAGGCTTCAGGCTCTGAGCTGTAAGCACAGAGCCCGACCCGGGGCTCAAGCTCACAAACCGCGAGATCATGACCTGAGCAGAAGTCGGATGCTTAACTGACTGAGCCACCCAGGGGACCCCCAAAATTTTTTAATAATATAAACAAATATTCAGTTTCTGCTGTCAAAAAACTAGCAATTACAGCTTCATTGCTGAACACCCATGTGTCATTGAATAAAACCACTAAATTTCAGCAACCTCTCCCATAAAATAGATTTAGTAACGCTTGTTCAAGCTGATGGCTCACAAGAGTCAAATGACATAGTCATTATGCCTATGTTTTGCAATGTATAATCCAGAAGGAAGATGTGAAATATTGATATCAGAGTGATATTTAAGCAGTGTTTACACCCACAAAGCAAGCTGAAAACGTTAATCTATCATGAGATAAAATGTGTCTTTAAAGTGTTGGTTTTTAAAATTATATTAATTCTAAAATCGCAGGGAAACTCTCATTATGGAATCATTTGGAAAATATTTTTGTAAATATTTCCAGAATCATAAACATGTTTTTATTCCTTATAGTAGTGACTCCCACCAAACAAAAAATTATTCTAAAAGTGAAATAAGGTGGTGTCACTTTTTCTGTTTGTTTCAAACAACAGAAATGTATTTTCTCATCGTTCTGGAAGCTGGAGGTAAAAATTCAAGGTGTTACCAGGGCATTTCCTCCACAAGCTCTAGGAGAGAATCCATTCTTGCCTCTTCCAGCTCCAAGTATTCTTTGTTTATAGGCGCGCAGCTTCAGTCTCTGCCTTAGACTTCGCGTGACTTTATCCTCTGTCTCTTCACATAGCCTTCTCCTCTGCATCTTGGTCTGGGACTTCGGTATCTCTGTCTTCTCCTTTTCTGTCTCACAGGGATACTTGCCATTGGATTTAGGGCCCATCTGGATAAATCTCATCATGAGATCCTTAACTCAAGTACATCTGAAAAGACCATCCCCCACCCCCGCCAAATAGGGTCACATTCACATGTTCTGGTAGACCTATCCCGTGGGACATATTATTCAACCAGCTCTACTAGGGTTCCCCCAAGAACTGATATTTTATTTATACTATCTGATACATTGTGAATACTCCAGACTGAATGCTCAAGTATCAAGTATGTATCAAGATACTATAAGATAATGAGCTATCAGAACACGGTAGCATTATTGAATACTGCGCAAAAGTCGGTAGACTGAATACTTTTTGGCTCATTTTTAATATAGAAATAATAAATTTATCTGCAGGAAGGGTAGGAGTTAAAACAAATGATTTCCTGTAGTTTCTTTTGCTTGAAATACCTCTGAATATTTTAGCTAAGGTATTTTGGGTTTGGGTTTGTTTGTTTGTTTTTTTTTTAGGTTTTATTTAAATTCTAGTTAGTTAACATAGAGTGCTATATTAGTTTCAGATGTTCAGTATAGTGATTCAACACTCCCTATATCGCCCTATGCTCATCACAAGTGCCCTCCTTAATCCCCTTTACCTGTTCCACCCATCCCCCCACCCACCTCCCCGCTGGTAACCATCACTTTGTTCTTTATAATTAAGAGTCTGTTTCTTGGTTTGCCTCTCTCTCTCTCTCTCTCTCTCTCTCTCTCTTCCCCTTTGCTCATTTGGTTTTTGCTTAAATTAAGGTGGTGTAACTTTTATAATGGAAGACGATGTCATGTCATTTATAATAGTCATTTATGTGTCATTTATAATAGTGAAAAATTAGAAATATCCAACATGGTCAATAATAGGAAAATGCTTCTGTAAATCAAACTACTACCAATAGCGCAGGATGCTGTCAATAAAATGCTAATCAATGTGAAATGAGAAAAACAAAAGTAGTATAATAACTCTGCCCATTTGTACAGATGTTTTAATAAAATTTTAAAATCAAGAAGTGATCATTCGAAAATAGACTTTTATTTTCAACATGTATCTAGACATAAATATATACAATTTAAAATTAAAAATCAAGTTTAAAATCCATATCACCATATTTTCCATCACTTTAAGCATCAGAGAAAGGAGACAGGGTATGAGGATAGTTTTATTAACTATCCAGTATCATTAGTTTGCATAGGTGGCACTAACATGGTAACATGACATAGATTCTTAAACTAATAATTTTTAACTATTGTAAACTTTTCATAAATATCCATATCATGGGCCAAACTTTCCCAAAGATTCCAAGGTCTATCCTTTCTTGATGGCCACACTTTGTAATGTGCTGGACGTACACCAGAGATTGCTCAGGGACTCTCATGGCCATGAACTGGGCTGTGGACTATTTCCTGGGGCTGTGACCTTGGGAATGTGCCGCCCCACTAACCCCATTGTCCACTATTTCCTTCCCATTCATTCTGCAACAAAACTAATCTAGCATCAATCTTTCTGAAAATAATAGAAATGCTTGTTTCAATTTTGAAATATATATTTAAAACTATATGAGGAATTATTAGTAAGGTTGTCATTATAGGTAGATTTTTATAATTATATTACAAACAGTAAATTTAAGATATGTTTTTATGTACTTATATGTACATATCAATCACATTTGCATGTAAATTTTAAATATACATGGTTATTACATATTAAAAGAATAGATTAAAACTCCATGATTAACTATTCCCCCTTAATTCC